CGGGCCGGGACCTGCCCCCAGTCCTGGATGCCGGGCCGGGACCTGCCCCCGGTCCTGGATGCCGGGCCGGGACCTGCCCCCGGTCCTGGATGCCGGGTCGGGACCTGCCCCCAGTCCTGGATGCCGGGTCGGGACCTGCCGCCAGTCCTGGATGCCGCCCCGGCCCCCGATGGCGGCCGCACCTGGGCCAGGTGAGCTCGGAACTGGCGGGTGGGAAAACGCTCTAAGCGCTACGGGCCTTTTGTACCTGGGGAGCGGGAAAGAAAGGGGAGATGTGGGAACGGATCCGGGCAGCCGGGGTTTAAGGCGGTTCTCTCGAGGTCTCCCGTCGCCTTCTTGCTCGCACATTAAAAAAAAAACCGTCTTGTTTCGCTGCGAGACCTGAGTAAGCATTTTGCAGCTCAGTGAATCTCGAGGCTTTAGGAATGTTGGCTGCCACGCCAGATTAGCCCGTCGAATCCGACAGGGAAGGACCAGGCTGTGCCCTGCTGTTCCGAGCTAAGCCGGACCTAGGACAGAGCCTTCCTCCGGGATGCGGGGAGGAAGCTGCCAGCGCTCTGCAAACGCGCCGAGACGAAACCTTTGTTTCGTGGTATTAAGCAGCTCTTTAAAGCTGCCCTGTGCCCCCGAGAGGGAGCGGGGCAGCACGCACAGCTCTCCAAGGACCCCACTGCACAGACAGATTAATACTCATCCTAAATCTTCTGCCGCAAATTAAGCTCATTTCTTCCCGTCCTTTCTGCAAGATCCAGGGAACACCTGGCAGCACCAGGTGCTTTTTGTACCCCATCTCTGACCGTGCCCTCCCCTGGGCTGTGCCTTCCTAAACAGACCCAACTGCTTCAGCCTTTCCTCACCCATCACTTTTCCTTCACTTTTCCTTACTTTTGGTTCCCACTTTCTTTTAAGTAAGACCAAACTACCACAGAGAGAAGGACAACAACTATGTTTCGTTGTCTTACTTGCTGTGCTGGTACCAAACACATTTCAGCTGGTATTTCACCACCCAACACCACCAAACAAACTCTAGCTGTTGTTCTGGTTTGTAAGAAACATGTATGACACCCCTGGTCCGTTTTAAATTTGATTTAGATTTCAGCTCGACCCTTTGTCTTATTGAGATCACAATGAATTTTCAATGACTTCTCCCAGTTTGCTGCTGTTTGAAAAATTAACTGTATTCTCTAATGACCTTCTTCTAAACCATTCAGGATAATGTGGAATAAGCAAGGCTGGAGGCAGATCTCTATAGGATAAGATGACCTATCAGAAAAAAAAAAAAAAAAGAGTATTCATTGACTTTTTAAGTAGCCCCTACTTCCTGATTGCTCTTATTTTCTATAATATCATACAGGATGATGCCAATTGCTTTACACCGAGCTATGCCCACCTGTTATTTTTCCACAGCGAGTCAGCTTTCTGATCAAGGATTTTTTAATTTTTTTTTTAAATTTATTGTTCCCCAAGTCATAGTTAAGAAGCTTCCTTCAGACCCTCTCCAGGCTGGGAGTTGCACTGACTGGTTTTTCTGGCTGTTCCCCCCTCCCCGATGATGCCAAACCCCCTCTTCCCTCCCCCTCTTCCCCTCTGCTCTCTTCCAGTGCCACCCATCAGGGGTTCCGAGCCAATTCAGAGAGGAAGCACCGAGATCCTGTGATTAGCAAAGCTGCATTCTGATTAGTTCTACACAGAATGGCACGAGCCTTAAACACATCTATGACCTGCTCTTTTTCTATTCTGATCCCCCCCATTCCTACCTCTGTGCTAAAAGGCAGTTTAATTTTCAGGAAACAGTCACAACCAGCCTTTTCTCAGGGAAGAATTCTCAGGGAAGAATTCTCTGACTATCTGAACTCTCTCTGCGTTACCTGTTATTTCCCACTTTCAGCTTTTAAATAGAAGAGCAACGAGAAGAACCAAGCTTTTTAATCACTTACATTTTCCAGCCTGTGGAGGTATTCACGGCAAGCTCAGAACTGCAAAAAGACTCAGTGCCAAAATCCCCCTGACTTCAGGAGGGTCGGAACTTTGTCTAGGCTGTTTCCAGGTTTAAAAAAAAAAAAAAAATCCATTTATATTGGGTTACTGATCTGTAATCTTAGACGTTCGTGTTAATTTACAGGCACTGGAGCTTAAACAAGGAGGGGAGAAGCTTAAAGAAAACGTAGTTACCAGCTGAGCTTTGCTGATCAGATTTTGCAGCTTTAAAGCCAATTAATTTTCTGTCCAAACCTCCTTCAGTAAAACGGGAAAGCGGATAGTGGTGGGATGGGTGCCAGTGGGGCTTCACGTGGAGCTCCCTCCTCGGGGACAGGATGGAGGAGCTTTCAGTGGCACAGCAGAAAAGAGAGAGACAACTTGCTTGGTTTCTCCCAATAAACACCAAAATGTGTGAGGGGAGGCAGAAGCATCGTTAGTGGGGTGGGTGAATTGCAGACAAGTAGGAAAAGAGCAAAAAGCTATTTTCTAATGGCTTAGAAGCAAAACAGTGTGTAATGAGTACTCCCAAATATTCAGATATTGAGTGGAACACTGAAGGGCAGCCAACAGAAAAACACTCTCTATTTTTGGCCAGCACAATAATTAAGGAAAGCTCCCTTTAATCAGGAAGGGATTAATGTATGATTGATTAATTGCCATTGCTGACATGTTAATTAACTTCAGAAGAGGAGAGGCTGGTTTATTTTCAATGGATGTTTTAAGTTTTCTACACTTGCCATTTCAAGCCAAAACGTTCTAAAACTCCCTGTTTAATTCATTTAACTCAGTTTACTTATACATATATCCTCACATATATTCATGCAGCAAAATCAGAGGTTTTGTTGCTGTTGGCAGTTTAAAAACTTTTTAATAAGCACAACCACACTGTTCATATGCTCACCTAGGTTACTGTGGCCACACTTCCTGAATTTACTTTCAATACCTCTTCAAATTCCCCTTATTACTTCTTATATTCCATGCTATTAAATTATAACATTAAATGACAAACCAATTGTTTAAGAAATCACTGTAGAAAAACAAGAGTCATCATCCAGAGAGTTATGTCTTGGATTTAACTGCACTTCCATGCCAGACTAAGCAGTTCTTAATTGTCCTAAAAAGTGGAGCTTTACTGATTTTTATTGGATTTTATGAAGTTTTTTTTTAAATAGAGCAAACTGCTGCAACAGTAACACTTGATCCCCTGAGGGAGCAAACTCATAGAACTATTGAATCACGTAATCTAAGTTCTGTTTCTTAGTAATACCTGGACATATTGGCCACAGAAACTAAATCCAGATAATCTAAAAAGGCTGCATCATTTTCCCAAGCACAAGCAGAGAAAAACACAAATAACAGGCAGATATTTGTCAGTAATGAAACTCGTGTAATTTTTCTTTAAAGGCTTGGATAAGTAACTGTGGGTAAATTAAATTCAGACACTTGAGAGATGTCAGTTTAAAACTCTGGGGTTTGTCATCACTGTAGATGAGCGTAGATTTTAGAAACCCTTAGGACAATAAATTATAAAGTTTCACTTCCTAAATCATCTTCTCCTTTTCCTCCCACATTTTTCTGTTTAAGCAGCGCTACCAAGAGTGACTACGAGGTGGGATTACTAGGAAAAAGACCAAAAAAAAAATAAAAAATAGGAGACTGGTAAATCTGATGCAGACCATTGGCAAGACTTTTGAAGGTCTTTACATGCTAAAGATGCAGATAGGCACCTTACAGGATTTTTCAAAATTCCTAAGCGTGTAAGACGCTTACACCACGATTAGGCACTTTGAAAATCCTGCTAAGGACATATCTTGTATCTTTAGGTATCTAAATCTCACCCTCCATGTCCAGTTCCTCTCATGATTTGTTCTAAAGCGTGTCACTTTTGACACGTGGCACGTTTGCTTGTGAATTTTAGTTAATAAAAGGGGGGGGGAAGGAGGATGGAATAAGTCTGAAATGATTTTAAGAGAAAATTAATACACAGTCCTGGTGGGGTAACGATGTAAATATATCTTATTCTAGCACCAGGACTTTCTGGCACTTTTCTTTATTAATTTGTTACATGATCCTTTATACATTCTGTGTTTCCTCTTTTTTAACAGAGTTTAGTGACAAGAGAGAAAAAGGGCTCGAAAAAACCTCCATGAGCATCCTTAAATAAAGTGAATATACAGCAAACAGTACTCATGCATCCAAAATAAAAGAGCATTTTAGACCACGTTATTATTGTCCAGTTATTTATTGACATCACAGCAAAGTTTTGATTGTGTGCTTTAATGTTTATATCAAAATGGCCATGAAAAGCTGTACAAGTGTTAAATGCATTTTCAAATTAAGACTTTATACATTTCTTAAAGTATTTTTCTTAACAGAACTCTCCTATTTCTAAGCTGATCTCTTCAACCTATTTGTATTCTGAGACAAAATTGAAAGAACATTGCAAGTACATTCTACAAAGACTTTAGCACCAAAACATTTTCCAAAGTAGAAAGAAAAAAAACCCAAAAACTAAAACAAACCCGGGAAATGATTAGAATTAAATAATCTGAGGTCCTTTTCCACTTACAAAATTCTATGTTTCATGGGAAAATTTCTGTACTATGTTCAATGGGTTAACAAGTAAAGTCCTTATGTTTTAGTGTTTGAAAACCTTGGAGTCACAGGATTTAAAACAGATATTAAGAACTGGTTTTACTAACTATGTATAAGTCACTGCTTAAGTTGTTGAATGTTTCCTGGAGCGCCATAAATATTTACCTAAGAACCAGACATAATAACACTCATCACAGTTTGTTTGAATACACAAAATAGGCTGAGTTTGGCTCTGCACTTCAGCAGTTGGATGAACTCCATTTATCCCTGCAGGGTGTTTGCCATGACAGTGAATCTCTGTTTCAGACTCTCCCTTTTCTGCTTTAAGTCATCGTCTATGTCCCTCGCTTCCTTTAAGATTCCTTCCAGTTCTTGGACACAAGAAGCCTCCATCGCTGCTGTCTCACTTAAGTGAAAAAATCTGTTGTTAAAATCAGCACTAATGCCATTAACCTTCTCACTACTTAAAGCTGCTTTTATGCTTTTCTTAAAAACATCTTGTCCATTAATACTCCGTTTCATCTTGTCTAGAGAATTTAGAAAGAAGCTCTACAAATAGTACACAGTTAACTTGCCTTATAATGTTAGCATATTTTGATAACAAGGTCATAATTTCTTTGCTCATATCTGCGAAAAGAAAAAAAAGGCAATTTTATTTAAATATCTGAGTGGACCTCAACATAAATTAGGTAATTACATACTTAAATATACTTCAGTATATTTAATACGTCACCGTTTAAAACCTTTTCCAGTGGTTCAGTGTCATAAAGGGACTGTGAGTCCTCAGAAAGAGCCAAATCTGTTTTGTCAAGGAAGGACAGCTGAGGATTTTCTGACGCTTCATTCTAATAACAGAGCACATTAAAAAAAATACAGCTTCTAGGACTTAAAACGAGCTCTAGCATGGAGTTTAACTGAGGGAAAGAAGAGGTTTAAAAAGATCCTGAGAGAACTGTATTTAGAGAAAATGCAAGCGGTGTTGGCTTCGGGGCATCGCGAACGGGCAGCATCTCGGGCAGTGGGTGGGAAGTACCAGCTTGAGATCTCTGTAAATATATACATATTTTTTATACATACACTGATATATATACTGTATATATATATGTGTGTGTATGTATATCTATGTATTTATATATATATATATTTATCAGTAATATCAGCCAGCGTATTTCAGCAGCTCACCCTCAAAACGTTCCACGTAACTGCGTCTCGGCGCACGCCCAATTTTTGTTGGTCTTCAAACACTAAGGGAAGCTGTGGTTTCCTCATACAAGAAAGTCATACCTGGTTCCCCGAACCTCCATGAAGTTACGTGGAGCTCTGTGCCCTCCCTCCGGGCCGGGAATCCAGAGCAGGACATGGAATGAGGGTCCACGTCCTCCCTCCCTCCCTCAGCACCGCTCACCTCCATCCTTTGACGTTTACTCCCACTCTCCTCAGATTTTTGCGCGTTGCTCGCCATCGCTGCCTGACAAAGAGCAGGGGGTGTTTGCTAAGCCGTCACCTCGTGCGGCTGGGGGGGATATTTGTGCAAAATCGTGTAAAACCTGCAGCGCTCACCTCTGCGAAGGAGCTCTCCTCCCCGCCGAGGGGCAGCGCCTCAGGGCGCCCTGAGGGGCTGGAGGCGGCGGGGGCAGGTCCGGGGGTGTCCCGGCACAGCCTGGGGTGCCTGGAATCCATAGCCAAGGGGATTTATCCCTTTCTCGGTCCCCTCAGGGACAACGGGGACCCTCAGACCGGCGCCTTCCCCTCAGGCTCTGGGCGGGCCCTGGGAGGGGAATAGCGGTGAGGGGCTGTCCGTGAGGGCACGGGGGTCGAGGGACAGGGGACGGGGACAAGGACAGGGGACAAGGGATGGGGACAGAGGACAAGGGATGGAGACAGGGGATGGGGACAAGGACAGAGGATGGGGACAAGGGATGGAGACAGGGGATGGGGACAAGGACAGGGGACAAGGGATGGGGACAGGGGATGCCCCGCTCCCCTCAGGGCTGGCAGCACCCCCAGAGCTCCTGCCCAGGCTCCGGAGCGGCTCCTGCCTCAGCCGTCCCCATCCCTGCCGAGTTAAAGATTATTCTAGCTGAAGTCACTCAAACGTCGAGCTGTCCCCCCAGATAACGTGTTTTGTCTCCCCTAACCCGGTCCCAAGTCCCTGCAGCACCTAAAACGCCGGACGGATCACTGGCCGCTGGATCCCCCTCAAAACTCAAGCCATAGATCCATAAAACTTGAGATATCAGTCACTAAAATGAGCAACACCGCCAAAAATGCACAACTGCTGAGACCAGCTCTTTTCTTCTTCAAAGGGTTTCTCTGCAGTGAAAGAAATTATTTCAGGATTTGAACTCATGTTGGAGTGAAGTAAATTTTGCCTCTGGGTTGTTTTGCTGTCTTCCTGTGGTTTGGTTTTGGTTTTTTTTAATATCTCTAATTTCTTTTTATAAGAAGAGAAAAGATCTTAATCTCACACATGTTATCTGATTAGGCTCTGAAATTAAGATCTCACTACAAGAAATTAAACTGCTGAAAGAATGGGAACTAAATACTTCCCCAAAGTAGAAACAATATTCAGTATGCTGACACAGCCCAATTCACTCATTCTCAAACATTGTATAGATATTTATGTTATTAGCGATACTATCTAAACATTATGAAATAGATATGATAGATTTGGTTTGGAATTTGGCCTTAAGGTGTTTATTTAACTGGGTTATCATTAGTAGGTTAAGATATTTTTATTAACAGACCATGTGAACTAGAAGAAATAAAACATCTGAATTTTCTTTACCGCTTTCAGTACGTTATTGGATGTGATAGTCTATGGAGAAACCTCAGTCTAAATATAAAATAAATTAAAAAATTATCTAAGGTGTGAGAGTTAACTCTTACTGGAGTTCCACATCCTTCAAGATTGGAGAAAATTATGTAAGTGATTACTCTAAAAACAGTTCCAGTTCCCTTATTATTGGAGATATTAAATGCCAGGAGAAATGAAAGCTTAAATCTTATCACAGAAGCCATTGTTTGAATTAGAGTCTGGCCCTTAATAAATGCAAATATTTACAGAGGAAGAGAAGGGAACACCTTTTATTCAGTGTGCTAAATGACCTTATTGATTTTTAGGCTCTCAAAGGCTGACAAGGAAGACTAAATCCTCCTTCCTGATAGTTTTGTGTGTAATATCAATAGACCAAAAATATTAGTGCCAGCAGTTAGTACAAAGTAAATAATATTGGCTGACTGGCATTGGTTTTGCCAAGTATAATATTATTTAATGTTTCATTAGTTATCTGAATGTGTATTTAAACTGAATGAGAAAAAAATGGCTAAATGATAAATTATTGATCCAGCATCTTTTTTTTTTTTTTTTATTCTTTTCCAGTGAAATGAAAAGTATCTGGGAACAAGAATCACCCAAATGGGGAACAGCCCTGAATAAAACTCTGGTGCCTAAATTTTAAAAAAATATTAAAAGTCAATTGGAATGAATTAAAGAAATGTGAATATTATTTTGAAGCAGAAAAAATTATTCAGAGGAAGAAACTTAAAAGGGCTGAACTGTTTATTTTAGTTGAAAGAGACCAAGAGGCATTTTGATCCTACTTGCAGAAAGGAACTATTTGTTACGAAATGTCTATCGGGAAAAAGTACAGAAATGGGTGACCAGAAACAGAAGTCAGTTAAATTTAGAAAGATATATATTTTATTTTTTTTTTCCTGTTAGAACCAACCATTCAAACAACACACCAAGGGGTATGGTGGAATTACAGCTGCTGTACATAGAAATCAGCTAACTGAGGTGTTTAAACTGGATCTCTCTGGGATACAGATTTAGGTAAACACAACTGTAACAAAATGGGATGATACAACTTTGATGCCCTGCTGGAATTCAGTGAGTGTCTGTAAATAGGGATATATATTTATTATTTGAAACAGTAGTTACCGAAAATGTATTTTTCTTTGTTTGTCTCTGGTAAACAGAATTCCTCTGCTTTTTAAAATCCTTTGGAATTAATGTCATCGGTTTCTTGGAACAAGTTTAAAGAAAGCATGTCAGTTCTGCAGCTGGTTTTTATTCCAGCATGTCAGTGACGTGCTGGAGGGTAACCCCCTTCAAACCCACAGTTATTAGTAAAACAGCATTTTAATCTTTATGGTTATCACTTCAGATGAGATTAGGAGCGTGCCTTTGACCTCAAAATTACCTACCTATTTTTACCAGATGGATATTAAAGCATTCCTACCTTTTTTTCCCCCCTCTCCAAGGGCAGTAACAGGCACGTGGGAAGGTGAAGAAGTGTCTTGGGGTCTTAGCTACATAAGTAGCTCCAAGGGAGGAATTTAGGTGCCTGTTCTGGGATAATCTCTCGTTTCCCTCCATCACTTGCTGCCTTTGGGGGGTTTGTGTGGGTTTTTTTCACCCCTACAAGTTCAGCCTCTCCCATTTACCCATCGAGCTGCACAGCTGAACGTCCTCCTGCCTGGCTAATAATCATCACTACAAACAGAAAAAATCGAGGCACGGGGATTTCCACCAGCGCCACCGAGTTCTACAAACTTAAAAACCCCAAAAAGCATTGGTTAATTGCTCACTCCCAAAGCTGCGTTTGCTGGTTTTTTAGGGCCTTAATTATCCCATCAGCACAGGGTGCTTTGGCACTGCAGTTACAGCAGCGTTTGTTGCTGCAGAGAACCCAGGGGCAGCACGAACCGGGGGATAAGGAGGGGTTATCCCTAAACAGGCGCCCGGGCTCCTGCCCTGGAGCCGGTTCTGTTGGGAGGGATGCGGTGCCGATGTTATCCACAGCCAGCACACCCAGCGTTCCCAATCCCAAACCATTTTCCCGCCAGGGCGTTTGCGGGCAGGGTGCGGGGAAGGGGAAGCCGGGGATGGGGAAGCGGGGATGGGGACGGGCGGTACCTGTTTTCCAAACCTCACGGAGCGGCTGGTGCGGGGCCAGGCAGGGCTGACTGACACCACGGGAGCGCATCCAGCCTTCCCCACCGCCCGCATTTGCATATGTGCCGTGGCTCCGGCCCGGGGAAATGCCGCGCCACAAACGCAGACGTCGGCAGATATCCTGGGAACGCGGCCAGATCTCCTCTGCCGCGGAGCCGCTTTAAGATCTTCCCCTCCCGGCCCCGCGGCTCGGGCATCCCCCGCGGATGCTCTCGGGAGAGCCCCGACCCCAATCCCGGCTGCAGGAACGGGTCCCGGCGCTCCCCGCCCCTCTGTCCGGCTCCCATCATTCGCCTGCAGCTCGGCGAGGAGACCGCAAGGATCACCGCGGGCTCTGCTCCCATCATTCGCCTGCAGCTCGCCGAGGAGCCAGCAGGAACCCCCGCGGGCTCTGCTGCCACCCCCTTCGAGCTTCTCCCGCCCCGCAATCCCGCTTTTCCACAGGGTGAGTCATTCCACGCCACCTCGAACAGTCAGCTAAAAACTTTCAGCTTCTGCCGCGCCTTTTCAAGCCTTCTCTTTTTACTGCGTCACGGTTGGACTTGGTGATGCTGGAGGGTCTTTTCCAGCCTTAATGATTCTGTGATTCTATGATTCAGTGATCAAGGGAAGAAGCGCAGTCACTTTACGTGTTTTACCCATTAAACCAAGGGCCTCAAATCAGTAAGTCCTGCCTACCCCTTCCCCTCCACTCCAGAATAACAGAGCAGTCCTTGGCTTGTTGGTTAATTCGCTGTGGATGAGGCTTGCAGGGTTTGGTGTTGGGGTGTCTCGTTTCTAAGGCTCTGTTTGCAAACAGAAGATGCAGCGAACCTGGGTGTTTCTTCTGCACAAACTATAGACCATTAGGGTTTTTTATAAGAAGGAGGATAAGAAAAAAAAATCACTCTCAAATACATACTTAAAAGTGCTTTACTGAAGGGACAAGGAAATTCCCCAGTCCCTGTGGCTGATGGGCGTGTGCAAGTTGGTATTGCTCAGCTTCTTTGTATAGAAAATCTTTCTGGAGTGATGAAAAAGCTTTGGAAGGACGCCGGATATTCTGATTGCACAATGAAATGCCAGTGCAAGAGCCGGATCTTCCTACTGTTCTCCTGGTTTTAAAATGCATTTATTCAGTGCAAGGGATATGAATAAAGCTAAACCCGATGCTGAGGAATGCATCTGGTGCAGGGAGGTTTGCAAGCAGCAGGTTGGGGTGCAGGTTGGAGTGGAGGTTGAGCTCTGGGTGGGAGCCCAGGACAAGAGGCTGTGAATTGCCACACCTTTGGTTGACAAAGGGCTTGAAGAAGGAGAGAACAGCCAGGGATGGTCCCAGCAGTGAATGTCTCTGGCCTCGGGAATGTGACTGCCAGGGAATCTCCTGAATGGTCAGACTGAGTCACTTCGTTAACACCAATTATTCTTCCAGAATCCCTGGTTGTATGTTGGCATTAGAGGCAGAGTGCAGCCCTGGATCAGTTCAAATTACCCCTGAAGTGTTTAAGAAGGGCTGGAACCTCTAAGGTGCAGAAGTTGACTGGTCTTCAATGATTAGTTCAGAGTTTGCTGGATTTTGTTTGGGGTTTTTTTGGTAATAAAATGATTGTTGTTATTCCTAAGGGAAATATATCCTTTCTTCTTCCCTCTTCTCTGTGTCACTCTTGAAAGAGAACAGCTGTGAAATCAAGATCAGAATTCAAGCTGAGATAAAACACCATAAGCAAATCAGTGTTACTGCAAAATAAATTCCATCCAAACTTCCCGAAGAACCTCCACAATTCCAACTCCAGGAGCCAAAGACACAGGCCTTTGTAGGGGCACTCAGAGGGGGAACTAAGTTTTGGGTATTTTGGCAGTTTGGTCTTTCATAGGGGAAGTCTGTGTGGATTTAGGTTTATAAAGAAGCATTGTGCTTATCTCTGAACCCTCTCCCTGCACCTCTGGCAGGGTGAAGATGAGTGCTGACGAGATCCTGGTGTGTGCAGTAAAACTTGGAAAAAACTTCTGCCTCTATTTTCTTGGTAATTATTATCTGGGAAGCATTGAATAACCTTTCCTGTTTGAATACTGATTTAATGCAAGTAATTTGTTGGTCTGATTTCAACTAATTTTGCCAGAAGCTTCAGTTTTAAGTGTTGTAAAGGACACTCAGAAAGTTGGAATACTGTGGGGTGGGCTTGGATAAGGGAATAAATTCCAATCTTATAAAGTTAGTTAGAAAAGTTTCTTCTTTATAAGCAATTAGATTCTTGTCCTTTTGCTCACTCAGAATGAAGGTTCTGATTAAAACAAAAATTTCTCATGCAATTATTCCTCAGTTACAGGTTTAAACAGACCTGTTCACCCTTAAATAACCCTAAACCATTTTGCATACCTCTGCTTTGGTGGTAACTGCAGTTCCCAAATGACTGATGTTTTCATCATCACCATGAATTTGTCTGGCTCACAAATAAACACTCTCTGTAGTAACACCAGCTCAGCCTGGGGAGTGCAACTGGGAACACGTAGGTGGCTGCCTGGCTCTCAGCCTTGCCTGGGTGGAAAGTGGTTTCTTTTGTGGGGGCAGAGATTAATCTTGTTTTTCCTGTCCTTTTTTTTTTCCTTTTCTCGTTGCTCGCTGGGGACCAAGACGACGATGGTAAGCTGAGAGCTCATCATTTATAACTTCACCACCAGTTTTACATGAACTAACTTGCTGGTGTTTTTACTAACCCACAGATGCTCTGTGTGTGCCTTAGAGGACAAGTTTCAAACTTGGCTACTGCAAGAAAAAGAGAGCTACAGCTGCTCTGCTCCTTCTTGGAGCTCGTGTTGCTTGAATTCCTCCTCGGGTACAGGGCAGTGCCCTCCCTGACAGCACCTTTTCATGCCATTCTGATTGCTGGGCAAGAGACAGAACTGTTGCATCTCAATTCTCACCAACAGGCACAGCAGCTTCTCTTGCTCAGATATAGATGTTGCTGTATTCTGGGAAATCCTGGGTTGCCACAAGCCAGAGGTGGAAAGAATGACACAGCCTTCTTTTGTTTGGGGTTGTGATTCTAAGAGCTCATCACTCTTGATGTCCTTAACAACAAGAACAAGCTCGCAGGGGGCTGTCAGGGCTGAGGGGACTACAGCTGAAATGTTAAGAAATCTTCCTTGTTATCTCCACAGAGCTGGAATGTGATGCCCTCTGCAAGGAAAAGGCCCTGCACAGAGTCCTTCGGAACGTGAACAGCCAGCTGCTGGTGGTTCGCCCAGATCTCAACCTGGCAGCCTTTGAGGATGTGACAGACCAGGAGATGCAATCTGGTACCTGTGCCCACTGCACTGCTCCTTTCCTCTGCAGGGGGGTTTGTTCTTGCCATCACTGACTCTAAAAGATGAGGCTGAGAGTAAGGACTTCAACTTCGTTTGTAAGAATGAAGATGAGCCAAGAGAGCTGAAATTTTGTGTCTTGTGCACTGGGGAAGGATGAGGTTCCTGGATTAGGCAGAGTCTGCAGTGTGTCACAAGCAGAAAAAAGACTGTTAAGAGTTTTGGTTAGCTCTGATCACAGAATTACTGTTTTTTATGTTGTGTTACAGAAAGTAATTTTAAAATTTAAACAATGTATTAGCACTAAAAGTTCTTACTTTCTTGTAACAGTAGTAGTTAACAATATACTTACAGTTTTGGCTTTGATTTTTTTGGGGTGTTTCAGCAATTTATTCAGAACTGTATTTGTTGCACATATTTATTTATGAGTCCCAAGTCCTGGCTCTTGTGTCAGGAAGATTATCCAGGGAAGGCAGCCAGCAGTTGCCAGTGGAATGTAAGACATAACGAGGTTCCTGCAGCTCTCTCCTGAGCACAATATTAATAATAAACCATTTTTACTCAGGCCAAGGGATGCACTTCACCATCCACTGCTACAAAACCACCACCCCTGCAGCAGGGATGCCTGTTGCCTTCAGTGTGCAGATAGAAGACAAAAGTTACTACATGTGCTGTGAGAAGGAACGCGGGGAAATGATCGTTCGGTTCAAGGTGAGCCTGTGCCTCCCACGCCTGCTCTGCCTGGCAGGGGCAAACTGAACAACCCAGACCTGGCAGAGCTGCAACAGGACTGCTCAGCTCTTGGGCTGGCAATAACACCTTCCCTTTTTCTTCCTCAGGAAGGAGAAGTTCCCAAAGACATTCCTGGTGAAAGCAACATCATCTTTTTCAAAAAGACCTTTACATCGAGTTGCTCCAGAGCATTTAAGTTCGAATACTCACTGGAAGAAGGAATGTTCTTGGCCTTTAAGGAAGAAGGCTACTTAAGAAAATTAATCCTAAAGAGATTGTCAGGCAAAGATGGAGTGGATGAAACCATGAAGATAAGTTTATCTGAGTTCAGTCAAAATTAAAGTCACAACCTGTGATGACAGACTTCAACAGTGTTAAAATATATTTTGGCTTTTTATAAAAGAAACTTCAGTCTTTCTTTATCCAAAACAAGCCAGTTTTCTGTTTTAACTACCATAAGTCAGTACTTATAAAAGAAATAAACATTTAAAATAATAAATGCAAGTTTTTGACAAAAAAAGAAGCAGGAGAGTGTTTTCTACTCAGGTAGAAGAAAATTACACAATGAGGAAACAACAATGTGAATGTCTGTGTGTACATGTAGAATTTGATCCCTAAAATCTTTAATGCCTGTTGAGCTAATTGAATGAGGTACCTCAGAGATGCAGGGGACCTGCTTGGGGGAGGGAAGGAAAAACACTGAAAATAACAGATTTCATAGCAGCACCTGGTCAAAAAACACTTGGAGGGTGCTTTTGTTTTGCATCAGAATTATTTCCTGAGTGTCTTCATCCATCTCAGCTACACAGGGACATTCTTCTCCAGGTACCACAATAATTAAGAGCAAAAGTTAACAGTATTTCCAGGGGTTTGATCGAGTTTCCAGAGGCCTGAGGAACACAGGGGATTCAGGGAGGAAGGTTTGTTCGTTCCCTTCTCACTCTGCTCCCAGAGCTGCCACCCCTGACATGGGAGATCTGGACTAAAACATTCCCAGAGCTCTTAGAGAAATAATTTCTCATACAATTACCTTAAACCACCCCCACCCCATGCAGACACACCCTGGGTTTGGGCTCAGACTGGGAAATATCAAACACTTTCTACGATATGAACTCCGACTGTTCCCTGGGACTTTCCCGTGACTCAGATCTGTACCTTCCTCAGTTGTGACAAAATAATGATTGGTATCTTGGTGTTTAAACCAGACCACAGCAGGCAAAGCACCCAGCTCATTCTCACCACAAAACTGAAAAAACTTGGCCAGCTACCTGCTTTTGCCTATGATTGCACAGATAAGCAACTAACTAAATAAATAAAATTAACAGTCCAGATTAAAAAAAACCCAAAAAGTCTTGTAGAATTCAAACAGAACTTGGGCATTATTGTGTAATCAGCCTGATGGCAGCACAGAATTCTCTTCCTCTTACTGTTAACAGTACCACAAATGTAGCAGAATGTGGAAATAGCTGCTCACTGCCTGCTACAGTGAAGGTCCGAAAAGATAAAGCTCAGAATCTCAGTTCCCCCCTGAAATGCTCTAAGCCCTGAAGACACAGAGAAGAATGTTGCATCACCCTCACAGCGAGCTATGACAGGAAGGCTGTGTTTGTTGCCTTTTCAGTCACCCAGGACAATACAGACCAGTGCATTTAGAAAACAAACCCCCAGAAGTGCTACAGATAAACATTCACATTCCGGGGAAACCCTGAAGGTCAGATGCTCCTAAAATCAACAGGCAAAAGCATTTTTCTTCTAGGCCAATTGTTCTGTTTTCTAAGGGACATTCATTACTCTTGTATTAAGTCTAAGTCACTTCTAAGAATTAAAGGTTTTGTTTTATAACAGCCAAATGAAGCAAAGCAGAGGAACAGTATGAATTAGTAACAAACGGTTCAGAAGCACAGACAAGATTTCTGTAAATTCTTTATTGCATGGATTAAGAAAAAAGTATTCCCTTTTCTACACCAACTCTCAGGGTCCAAAGAGTTACAGGGTCTGCCTTGCATACAGGCCAGTTGTTGTGATGTCAGAAGAAGCAGTTCAATTTTCCACAAGTTTTACAAAGCAGGAAACCAAACAACAGTTAAAAAAACACCCACTAGAGCTCTCATTACAAGGACAGTTGCAAGTCTGTCACCGGTGTAATTAATTCATCCCAATTTACAGCGCAGCTTAAACCACCTCACTGGTGTAATTAATTCATCCCAATTTACAGCACAGCTTAAAGCACCTGGCTCTGATGGACATTATCCAGCTTAAATCTACTGTTTCTTCTCCAACATCTTCGCTGCTGTTGGGTGTTTAATTCTAGAGGGCTCTGAGCTCCCTGCAGGACGTTCCCACTACGGACCCTTGGCTTTGCGCTCGTTTCGCGTTAAATGGTGGTAAAAATACGATGAAGCAGAGGCAGCAGAGAACAACAATCGTGTGTGTCAGGGGCTCTGGTGGCACCTCAGAGGCTCCAGAGCATGGCCACAGCCTTGCAGATCCCCACGTCGTGGTAGTTAAAGTAGCAGAGGCCGGCGAAGGTGGCGGCCGACAGCACGTACAGCCCCGTGTTGGCCACTTTAATGGCTGTGTCTCCGTGGACATAATCAGTGATTACCTGGCCAAGACCCCTACAGGACAAGAGAAAAAAGCTGGGATCAGGCAAGACCATCTGCTGAAATCCACCAAATCCACCCAGTTTATGCCAGCATTCCAAGATGCCTCAGACATTTATTTTTTTTTTGCCCGCTCACATCAACGAAAAGACGAGTTTATTTAAAAACCAAAATTGCACATGTTCTGTTAGAAAACATACACACTGGCTCCAGGTTTTGTTAATGGTACTGAGGAAACAAGGTGCTGAGCACAGCTCCTCAGACAACAGAATCCTTAGAATCTGCTTCCAAGAGAGAGCAGCTTATCTGACTCCCAAGGACTGAAGAAGAGGAAAACAAAGGAAATATCCTTCAGGCTTGAAGAGCAAGGTGTGGATCTGGGACCAGCCCTTGCCACAAAGGCACAGAAGGCTCCTGGATGTGTATTGGGATTAGAAGAGTGGCAACCAATAAAATTACCATACTTTGGGGGTTTTTTTCTATATCTGTTAGACTGAAAATGACCTCTTGTCTGGATTTAAACCATCCAGCAAGAGAAGACACAGGATGCTGTTGAGCTCTGGGGAGAAGCTCTCAGTCAGAGTGAGGAAAGTGCAAGAATCCCTGGCACAAATTTTGAGGGGAAAAACTGAGATTTAAGAAAACCTGGCACCACGAAGTACCACAAAAATCTGCTTTATCCTTGTGGCAGGGAACTCCAAACCAGTCTCACCTCAGGAAGGTGAAGGCTGCCAGTCTGGCCAACCGAGTAGCTGGATCCACTCCTTGTCCCAACTGATTGAGGACCACAGCAGAACAAAAGGAGCAAGCATCCATTCCCCAGGAATCAAGGAAATAACAACCCAGGTCTCCACTGTGAGCTCTTTACAGAACCTCATCCCCACTGAGATTACAAAGCCAGCCCACAGCACAGAGCTTTAAAGGAAGAACTTGGTTTATATAGGTGTGCCCTCTTTCTGTTCCCTCCGTTTGTACAACACTGACTCTTCTACAAGATAAAACCACCCAAGATCCTACACATCCAGTGGCAAGGAAGTGCTCCTGAGGTCACAGACTGCCTAGAACACTGGAGGATTTTTATGGATTCCTCAGTAGTAATATATATCCTGTCTTCTGAGAGAACTGTGTGACAACCACTCCTGTTAAAGATCACAACAACTCGGAGACCAAGGACGTTGCTTCTTTCCAGGTGTTTTGCCCTACATCAGGAAATAAGCCAGCAGAGTTGCTGCCATGGACAGATTTCAGCCAGAAGGCTTAGAGCCACCCTGACTTTAATCCTGAGGGACTCTGTGCTTACCAGTGGCCGTGGAGGGTGAGGGCAGCAGCCAGGGAATAGTCCACGGCGGGTCCTGGGCACAGGTAGGCTGCAGGGAGGAGCCCCAGCAGGAACACACTGACAGCTCTCTCCCCTGTCCAGTGCAAGGATGCAGCCTTGGAACCGCCTGCAAGGAGAAAGAGTTCTCAGGGCAAAGCCCCTCTTCCAAGTGCTGGGACCTGTGAGGCAGAGACCTCACCCTGAGCAGCACCACACGTGTCTGCTGTGAGCTGGTTACTGAGCCTTCCTCCAGGCAAAATGAGATGCCTTGGAGTTCCTGCTGTAGAACACAGATCTGTTTTCAATGTCACTGGAGAGTCTGAAAAGGCAAAGCATCTTTGTCTGATGATTTTCCTGCCTGTTACACACCACTTACTACTCCCACCTTCTGAGAAATGGCTTTGGGACCCAGACAGACACACCTACGAGTTCCAGTGAGTGGCACATCGTGGTGACTCTGTGCAGTTCTGCCCAGGAAGCAACATTGCTATTTTTAGCTGTAAAGAACAAGATTAAACTCAGGGACCACCACCTATGACCTGAAGGATTTCAGTCCTCCACTGATACTCAGCTGGGCACAATCTGAACCACGTTAACAGGTGACTCTAGAAACAGAAATATCAGTGAGGGAGCTCTGTAACCAACTTTTTGGAATCATGCAAATACAGCTAAGGAGGAAAAAAGCCAAAAAAAAACACCTAGAAGGTTGTGGAGCAACCCAAAACCTTAACAGCATAAGCAATACTTGGATGTCAGCATCAGCCCGGGCTAAAAACATCAAGAAATGACTCTACAAAATTACCTTTATAATAAAATACCCCAAAGTGCTTACCTAACACACAGATAACATCTGTCCATCTAAACCAAAATACAAATGTTTTTCTTTATTTTTGCCAGGAGAAAAGAAACTTAGAAAGTGACAAGATAAGGAAAGCAAAGGACCTGAAGCACAACATGAGAGGGATTTGTGGACTAATAAGTCTGTGGGATTATAAATAATAATAAAAGATAAAGCTGTCCCTGTAGAACTCCATGGCTCAGAGCCCTTCACACACAGGCAGGAAGTCTGTGGTTAATATGAAACCCAGAACAGTAAAGGAATGAAATGGCTTAGCCATGTTTAAGCCAATTTCTCTTTTTAATCTTTTCAGTTAATGTTTTCCACTTGAAGGTGCACTGAAATGGCTACAAACACCCCTGACCTGCAGTCACAACACTGCAAGTGAATCATAATAAGTTTAACCTTCTGATTCCTAAAAACATTTCAACCTTTTTTTCCCCACACCTTTGTTCATGAGCAGAGATTTACTATTTAGCAACAAGTCAGTATCTCCTATTTAAGGACTCCCAGCACTCCCACACTGGACACTGACATCCCAAATACCAACTTCAAATCCCAGCAGTGTGACATCACACAGACCTTGTTTTAAATCAGAGCCAGACTAAGTGCAAATCAAAATGCTGTTAAGTGCAAATAGTGCTGCTGAAGTTGATGGTAACACATTACAGACAACCAGAGCCACCACAATAGCCCAATTATTTGTGACAAATAACATCTCTGCACGGTTACTTTGCTGTCTAACAACACCCAGCACTTCACAACTTCCCCCCTAACTCAGTGGGCCCACAGGATTATTTTCTCCTGTGGGTCCTTGCTGGTAACAGCTGTAACCCTGCATCACCCAGGAAGAGACCAAGAAAAACCACTGTACCATGTGTAAATCCCTTCTGCCCTTATTACTCACAGCTGCCACTTAAAATCCTTTACCTGGCCAAAAAATTTACGGAATCACAGACTGGTTTGGGCTGGAAGGGACCTTAAGCTCATCCCACTCTTGTGCCCTTGGCACCACTGTGTCACAACCACCTCCATCACCTCTGTCCTTTATCCCTGCACCTCTCCTGGTCCCTTGGCAGACCCACACCAAGACCTGGTTCCTTATAACCCTTTTTAATAGAATCACAGAATGCTGAGGTTGGAATGGACCTTAAAGGTCATTTAGTCCTGAACACCCTTGCCCTGGGCAGGGACACCTTCCACTGGACCAGGATGCTCAGAGCTCCACCCAGCCTGGCCTTGAGCACTTCCAGGGACAGGGCAGGTACCACCTGAACAAGGGGGCTCCCCTGACCCCGGGAAAACCCCCCACACTCACACCCACAAACACACTGTGGTGGGTTACCCTTGGCTGCACAAGTGCCAGTGGAGCCACTCCCAGCCGGACAGGGGAGAGAGAATAAGGTGGAAAACAACCCAGAGGTCGAGACAAGGCCCTTCACTACAGCAAAACCAAAAGCCTGCGGGCGCACAAGCAAAGAGGAAAAAGAAAAATAGCAGGTTTGTTCTCTACTTCCCATCAGCGAGCGATGTCCGGCCGCTTCCCGGGAAGGGCTTTGGCTGCTTCCCAGAAAGGGCTTCAGCAGGTGCGGCTCCGGGAGGCAAACACTGTAAATAACGACTGTCCCCCCCCTTCCTCCTTCCCGCGGCTTTTACACCTGACGGTTTGGAACATCCCCGTGGCCAGAGCGGCCCAGCGGGTCCCGCGGGGTCCCGCCCGCAGCGCCGGGGCTGTGCCGGGGGGAGATCACCACCTCCCCAGCCCAGCGCTGCCAGGGGGCTCTGGGGAACGAAACCGCATCTCCGCCCGCCCCGACCCCCCCCCCAGACACGCAGAGCCAGGCACGTACCGTGTCCCTGCGGGGCCGGGCCGTGGCTGTGGCTGTCCCGGGCCGGGGCGCTGCGATGGGCGGCGGCGAGCACGGCGGGGCGGCGGAGCAGGGCCAGAGCTGCGGGGACAACGGGGGCGGGCGAGGCGGTCACCGGGGGGGTCCCGCACCCTCCAGGGGTGTCCCGCACACCCCCGAGGGGCTCCGGGAGCGCCGCTCGCCCGCCCCGCAGGTCACTCACCCGTGGTGGCCCCGCGGGGCCGCAGCAGCGCCAGCGCCATGTCCGCTCCAAGGGCACCGGACACGGAAACGGCGGCGCCGCTTCCGCTTCCGCCGGGGCCGGGGGGAAACGGGGAATGCCGGGAATGCCGGGAATACCGGGGAAAGGGGGAGTGCGGAGGGAACAGGAGGTATAACGGGGACACGGAGGGAACCGACCCAGCCCGAGGCCACCTGTCCCGTCATCACCCCAAGCGCTGGTGCCGACCCGCCCGGTCACACCGGGGAGCGCCTTTATTGCAAATATAACAGCACGAGGGAATGGGTTCGCGCTGCCGCAGGTGGGATTTGTGGAGGGGATTCCTCCTCTGGGAGGTTTGCGCTGGCACAGGGTTGTGCTCAGCGAGGCGGTGGCTGCGCCATCCCTGGGAAGGGTTCGAAGCCAAGTGGGAGCGACCTGGTCTGTGGAAGGTGTCCCTGGTCAAT